CTAGGCAGGGGCTCTACCCCTGACCCACACCCTCACTGAGGGGATTCTAGGCAGGGGCTCTATCACCGAGCCACACCCCAGCCCCTCACTGGGGGATTCTAGGCAGGGGCTCCACCACTGAGCCACACAGTCCCTCACTGGGGGATTCTAGGCAGGGGCTCTAACCATGAATGCCCCAGTGCTTCACTGGTGGCTTCCTCTATCACAGAGATACACCCCCAGGCCTCTTTTTACTTTTTGTTTTGAGACAAGGCCTTGTTATATTGACTAGACTGGGATGAAACTTTGTAGCCAAGCTGACTTTGAACTTGCAATTATTTTGCCTCAGCCTCTGGAGCACCTGGAATTCCAGGCCTGAATCACCAGGCCTGGCTCAAACTTGTTTTAATGGGATTCTTGCTGTTCCCGGCTCCTATCCCCAAGTCTTTCAAATCACTGTGTCTGTCCCATAGGAAAAATCTTGCACGGGTAGACTGGGGAGATGCTTGCTACCTGAGCCTGTCATCCGAGGCATATAACAGGCTGGCAGCACAGCCTGAGAGCAAGATAAAGAAATTTATAAAAGTCAGCGAGATGGCTCAGGGGGAGAAACGTGCCTGCTGTGAAAGCCTGGCTTATGAGCTGGACTCCTGGGACCTACTTAAAGGTGGAAGAAAAGAATCAACTCCACAAAAGTCTTCACAAAGTTGTCCTCTGGTCTCCACATTTGCACTGTAGCATGCTCATGCCCCATAAATATCTCACACACACACACACACACACACACACACACACACACACACAATTTAAAGACATGAATGGATGGAACCGAGAGGCAGAGGAAAGGAAGATGTCTGCTTGAAGAAGTATGGTGTACCCAGAAACGGTTCTGCGGGAACCCCAACCCACATCTCCATCACATAACCAATATGGCCCCCACCCCACCCAGGATCAGGAAAATGGAATCAGAGTTCAGAGAATGAGACAAGCAAGCAACTGGATAGCTCAAAGGCATATTCCTTTTGTTGTTGCTGTTGAGACAGGGTCTCAGAACGTGGCCAAGGCTGTTCTCAGACTTGTAGCAATCCCCCTGCATCAGCTTTCTGAATGCTGGGATCACGGTGCCACGCCAACATACCCACTGTACAGACTAACTCCTTTTCCTTAGGTCCCACCCAGACGAGACACCATGCGCCTCCACTGCCCACGGCTCCTCCTGATCCTAGGTAAGGGCCGAGGCCCAGGCTGGTGACTGGGTTTGCAGACATGGGTGGGCGGTGCAGAGGCATGGCGACCGTGGGGACGCAGTGTGCACGGAGGCCGTGGGCCGAGCTCCCGTGCCGCTGGGCGTGCTCTCCTGCCTCCTGTGAGAGTTCTCACCGCTCAATAACACTTTCTGACCAGCACTGTGGCCGATAAGACACGTGGCTTTGTTCAACTCAGCACGTAGCTGGACCGTTGCCCATCCCGAGACCCTCTTCGCCTGGGAGGGAGCCTGCCTCAGGATTCCTTGCAAGTACACAATACAAAATCCCAGAGGATCTCTGGACAGCATCCTACTGCTTCAACATTTCAATTATGATGACAGCACCAAGGACTTCAAGGGGAGTACCCTCTTTCAGGGCCCAAAGTCTACCTCATCCCCTTCTAAGATGGAGAGAGTAACATTTCTGGGAGACCTAAAAAGTAACTGTACGCTGAAAATCCACCCAGTACATGCCAATGACAGCGGGAAGCTGGGGTTGAGGATGTTTTCAGGCGATGACAAGTGGATGGAATACATACAGCTCAATGTCTCTGGTAAGGGCATGGGGGCTGGGTCACCCTTCCCCCGGAGGCTTTTCCCTAGATAATCTAGCCATTTTTGGTTACCGCCCTCTTTTCCCTTTTACCCTCTTTCTTGGCTGCTGCACCTCGGTCTCCTCTCTCTTCTCCCTTTCTCTCCCTCATCTCCTCACATGGCTCAGGGTCATGTCCACTCTAAACTTCCCCAGTTGTCCCTGACTCTGGCTATGTGCCCCCTTTTATCTACAACAAACTTTCTCCTCCACCACACCTAGGAGGCGACTGCATTACAAGCATCTGTTGCGCCTCAGGCATCTTCTCCTCAGCTTGTGCCTGTTCTGGAATCTGTTGTCGAGGCCGTCAGGTTTTCTTATCTTTTCAGAGAAGATAGAAGTTTGGGTTTTCAAATCTCTCAGTGGTTAGTCATCAAATTAAAGGACTCCTGTTAGGCTAGATGATGAGAGCACAGGGCTAAGACATGCCCCATGACAACAGCCAGGGGCCTGGCCCAGACATTAGTCCACACTGGAGCTGTCAGTGCTACGTATCGTGACATCACATCTGTTGGGTTCTCCAGCGTGGTGGATGTCTGAGCCCTAGGCCTCAGCATCACCCCACTAAAGGAATGCCATTCTTGGCTGACTAATACTGAGGCCACCAAACAAACACAAGCATATTACCAGTGATTAGCAATCCGTGCAGAATTCAACCAAACCAACCAACCAACCAAACAACCTGAACCCCAATCCTGAGGCCATTTAAAAAGCAAATGAAAGCAGGAAGTGAAAAACAAAGTAAATGTAAAACACAGTTTCCCAGGAGGCTTAGTGTTCCCAAGGCCTTCCACAGAGTAATAGAACTGAACAAAGAGATAAGATGGCCTTACAAGGGATTGTTCTGTGGTCATATGGGACAGGATGCCTGAATCCAGGGGTGGCAGGCTCCTCTTTGTCCTATCCCTGGCTCCCAGACCTCTTTTTTTTTTTTTCACCCTAGAGACACCCTTCCAACCTTCCATCCAGCTGCCACCAGAAATCCAGGAATCCCGAAGGATCACTCTGACCTGTGGACTGAACTTCGCCTGCTTTGAGTACGACCTCCGCTTTCAGTGGTCCCTGAAAAAGCCCGGGGTCACCTCTGTCACCTCCATCACCTCTTCCGTTGAGAAAGTCTGCACAGAGAGCAAGCTCACCTTTGAAGCAGAGTGGTGGGACCACGGAAAGACGGTGAAATGTGAAGTGTGGCACTCTGCCCGGCTGCTCTCTGAGAGAACAGTGAGTCTGGACGTTAAACGTGAGTCTCCAGGGGGGAAGGCCACCACCTTGTCACCTCCTTCCCAAACCCTGCTGAGCCCCACCAGGGATAGGGGGAGCCCATGTCCAAAGGCCACTCAGCTGTCAGTCACCTGTTTCTGAGACACTGTCTCCTCTGTCAGTCCTGTGTCTCGGCAGAAGTGGTGATGCAGGCCTGGAAATGGGCTTTCAGGAGGCCAGGGCTGGGGGATCTTCAGTTTGAGACGGGCTTGGGCTACATAGTGAAACTATGCGTCAAAACGCTAAGGGCTGGAGACTTATCCTGGAGGTTCGGTGCTTGCCTAGCGCTTGGGAGGCACTTACTCGACCTCCAGCCCCAATCGCGATCGATCAATCGATCAATTCTCAGCATGCTTTGAGAATCATCCGGTTAGAGTTCACTGTGCTCCATACAAGTAAGTTTTCCCACTATTTTATGCTCCATCCATCCATCCATGGAATGAATATTTACTGTGGGGCCTGGCATGGTGGTATACACTTTTAAACAGAGCCTTCACGCGGCAGACATAGGTGGAGCTCTGTGAGTTTGAGGCTAGACTGGCCTCTGAACCCTATCTTAAAAAAAACAAAAGTCTGTGAACTGATAAGGTACCAGGCCTTGTCTTGAATGCCAGCTTAGGTGCAGCTGGAGTGTTGAGCCAGGTTTGTTGTTGTTTGTTTGTTTGGTTGGTTGGTTTGTTTGTTTGTTTGTTTGTTTTTTCAAGACAGGGTTTCTCTGTGTAGCCTTGGCTGTCCTGTACTCGCTTTGTAGACCAGGCTGGCCTCGAACTCACAGAGATCCGTCTGCCTGGCTGAGCCAGGTGTTGCCTGTGTGGAATGAATATTGTAACAGACACATAAGACACATGTTAGCCAAGAAACACAGAGCTCCAGGAGAATTGCCAGGAGATGTGTGTGTTAAGAGAAAGAGAGGGCCGGGAAGATAATGTAGAACTTGCCTAGCCAACATAATAAGCCCCCTTTGTAATATTAAAAAAAAATAAGCTTAGTCCTATATGATGTGCTATTTACTTAATTTTTCAGAGTTTTTCTACTTTTTATTTTTGTGTGTATGGGTGCTTCACCTGTATATATGTCAGAGACCAACAGCAAGAATGCTGTAAATGGAGGTCAGAGGAGCGTGTTAGAGCCCCTGGAACTGGAGTTACAGAGAACTGTGAGCCTCCCCGTGGGTGCTGGGAATTGAACTCAGGACCTCTGAAGGAGCAGACAGTGCTCTTAGCTGCTGAGCCTTCTCGCTTGTCCCATAATACTCTTTTTTTTTTTTTTTAATTTTTAAGTACTTAGGAGAGATGGTACAGCTAGACTTACTGCTTTTACAGAGGACCTGAGTTCAGTTCCTAGCACCTATACCAGGCAGCTGGGAACTGCCTAGAACTCCGGTTCCACAGGATGGAACTGTACAGACACACACAACGAAAAGAAAAATCCTTTTTTTTTTTTTAAGTACTTGTCTTACAAGAATGAGAAATTGAGTTTGACCCCAGCACTCAATTTAAAAAGCAGGATGTAAGCTGGGTATGGTGGCACATGCCTGTGATCCTAGGACTCAGGAGGCAGAGGCAGGCAGATCTCTGAGTTCGAGGCCAGCCTGGTCTACAGAGCGAGTTCCAGGACAGCTGGAGCTATACTGAGAAACCCTGTCTGGAAGAATACAAAAAACAAAAACGAAGAAAAAAAGCAAACAAACAAACAAACAAACAAAAAGTTGAACATGGAGAAATTTGCTTGTTGTCTCCACACTGGGGAGGCAGATCCCGGGTGAGCTTTGGGACTTGCTGGCCAACCAGTCTTGTCTAATTATTGAGCTTCAGGTTAGTGAGAGAGACCCTGTCTCCAAAAAAAAAAAAAAAAAAAAAAAAAAGTAAAAACAAGATGGATGGTCCCCGAAACACAACAGCCGAAATTGTCCTCTGACCTCCATAACCATATGTGCACACACAAATACCCCAAAAAGGGTGAAGAGAAAGCAGGGTTAGGAAGGGGGTGATGGATGGAGACTTCTGTGAAGAAGGTGCAGGCCCCGGCTGACAAGACAGAGGGAGGGACTAGGGCGGGCAAAGGAGATTCTAGTGAGGAGAAAGAACAAACACAGAGGACCTGAGGCAATGGCGGAGGGCCAGACAAGACGATCGCCTGAGCCTTTTGAGGTAAGAGCAGGAGGAAGTAGAGAGGGGAGGACACTGGGTCTCCTGGAGCGGGTGGGAACCCAGTGGAAAGCTTCGGCGTCAGTCTCTAACTGATGATCTAGTGATGGGGGTTCTGGCAGAGACAGGAAGGTAAGGGACATGAGAAAGGGGAGCAGAAAACTGGATGCGGTGAAGCAAGCCTGGAATCCCAGCATTTGGGAGGCAGAGGCAGGCCGATCTCTGTGAGTTAGAGGCCAGCCTGGTCTACAGAGCGAGTCCAGGACAGCCAAGGCTATACAGGAAAACCCTATCTTGGAAAAGAAAGAGAGAGAGAGAGAGAGAGAGAGAGAGAAAGAAAGAAAGAAAGAAAGAAAGAAAGAAAGAAAGAAAGAAGGAAGAAAGAGAGAAAGAAGAAAGAGAAAGAAGAGAGAAAGAAAGAAAAAGAGAGAGAGAGAAAGAAAAGAAAAGAAAAGAAAAGAAAAGAAAAGAAAAGAAAAGAAAAGAAAAGAGGGAGAGAAAAAGGGAAGGGCAGAGAGACAAGTGAGGGGTTGTGCCAGCCCCTGGGTGGGCAAAGAAACCACAGATTTGGGAGCTGCTGCCAGGGCTCCTGCTGTTAGAATAAAAGCACAGCCACAGAGAATTCCCCGTCCCCTCCCACGCTGCTCCTCTGTTCCCGCAGACACCCCGAAACTGAACATCCGGGTCAGTCCCACAGAGGTCAAGGAGGGCGAGCTTGTGACCATGGCTTGCGAGGTTAACAGCAGCAACCCCGCAGCCGGGGCCGTGTCCTGGTTCAAGGATGGGCAGCCCCTGGAGGAACAGGGATGGAGACCCACCCTGTCTCTGCGGGCGGTGAGGAACATGAGCGGGAGATACCAATGCCGCGCTTCCAACACCGTAGGCCAAGGAGAGTCAACAGAAGTGGCCCTCACGGTGCTGTGTGAGTTTGAGGGAGGTGGGGGCGGGGTCAGCAGGATCCTCAGGGATGCCAAGGGAGGCTCTGGTGGCCGCCTGTGCCAGTCTGCGGGGTTCTGCTCACCCGCCCCGTTCCCCCCCCCCGCCCCCGGGGCCTTCTTTCAGTCCCTCCGGAACTGTCCCAGGTTCACATCTACCACTCTCCCGCTGACGAGGGACAGTCCATAGAGCTGATCTGTACGTCACCGGCCAGTCCACGTGCAACAAATTATACCTGGCTTCACAACCGGAAGGAGGTGCCCGGGGAGACAAGAGAGAAGTTCCACATAGCTCAAGTCTCCCTGAGGCATGCTGGGAGTTACGCCTGCTTGGCAGAGAACCCTCTGGGTCGTGGACAGATAGGCGAGGAAGCTGAGCTGGATGTCCAATGTGAGCAGCCAACTGACTTCTGGTTCTCGGAGGGAGTGGGGGGGGGCGAGGGCATGTATGAGACAAGCCACCAGGCACCTGGAGCTTCAACGCTGCATTCTAGACACACAGACCAGACAGAGCCTTGGCTTATGGCAGTTATTTAGTAGATATTTGTTGAATGAATGAATGAATGAATGAATGAATGAATGAATGTCACCAGCCTGGTGGCCCAGATCTGTCATCCCAGCTACTGGGGAAGCTGAGGCAGAAGGATCACAAATGTGAGGCCTTCCTGGGCTGCAGAGTGAGTTCAAAGTCAGCCTAGGCGATTTAGTGAGAATGGCTCAAAAGTAGAAAGAGGAGCCGGGATGTGACTCGGTGTCAGAATACTTTCCCATAGCTTATCAGTAAGGGACTGGGAGCATGGGCTCAGCGGTAGAGCCCCTGCCTAGAATCCCCCAGTGAGGGGCTGGGGTGTGGTTCAGTTCTAGCCCCTGCCTAGAACTTCCCAGTAAGGGGCTGGGAGTGTGGTTCAGTGGTACTTCCCTAGAATGCCTCAGGAGGACCCGGGGTCACGACTCAGTTGGTAGATTGCTTAGAGCACATAAAGCTCTGGGTTCAGCCCCCAGCTGCATAAAAGAAAGGGATATCACGGCCTCAGATCCGCACTTACAGCACAAAGGCAGGAAGATCGTAAGTCCGAGGTCACCTTGACTATATCGTAAGTCTGAGGCCAGCCTGGCTATTCGGGACCCTGCCTATTACCAGAGTTTCCCAGGGGCATGGCGACATGGCATCAGCAGGGGAGCAGAAGTCCTAAAAGATTTGAGAGCCAGAGGGAATACCATTCCCCTGCCGTTGCTTGGCATTCCTTAGCATGGCACAGCTGGTAACCGAGTCGCTCCCAGGATGGAGACTCCCTTCTTTGGGTGCTTGCGTATGGACAGGGCCACTGACAGCAGTAGCAAAGTTTGTTGTTGGGGACACACACTGGCTGTGCTAAGGGCGTCCCCTGGGAGGATTCTGGAAGGTTAGGTGTCCCTCTAGACACACTAGACCGAGGCCACATGGCTTCAAAAAGTGTGGGATCCGGCAGTGTGCGGGGGCCCTGCAAGAGGGCCCCGGGGGGAGGGTCGTTTAAGCAGCCTTGCGACTGGGCCAGGGTGGTGCAAGCCGGCCATTTCAGCTACTCGGGAGGCTAAGGAGGGTTGATGGCCAGTTCAAGACCGGCCTGTGCAAGTTAGCAGGACCCTGACCGGAAAAGGAAAGCTTAAAAAGAAACCTAGGGTAGGGCTGGAGATGCAGCTGGGTGGTAGAGCTCTCTCCTCGCCCGCGCACGGCCAGCGTTTGATCTCTGGCGTGCAGCGGGCACTAACGCCATCCTTCTCCGCTCACCTCCCTGCTCCACCCTAAGATGCCCCCAAGGCGGTAACCACGGTGATCCAAAGGTCCACGCCAATTCGGGAAGGAGACAGCGTGACCCTGGCCTGTCACTACAACTCCAGCAATCCAGAAGTCACCAGCTACCAATGGAGGCCTCAAGGTTCCGGGTATGAGCTCACACCGGGAGTGCTGCAGATCCTGAGAGTTGCGTGGGACACGGGGTCCATCAGCTGTGCGGCCTGTAATCACTGGTGTTCGTGGGCCTCCCCGGTCAGCCTGAATGTCCACTGTGAGTGACGGGGCAAGTGGTGTCTGGGGGTGTCTGCGAGGTGGCTGAACTGAGATACAGACAGAGAAGGGTGAGGGGATGGGAACCCAAACCTCGGGGGACTGAGGGAGGACCCCAAGTCCTCAGGGCCAAGGAGACCGGAAGTCCTCGTCCACGGAACAGGAAACACTAAACAGAGGGACAGAAAGTCCTGATCAAGGGCTCAGGAAGTTTGGGGGGACGTCAAGAAGGGAAGAGAGCCAAAACATCACTGTGGCCCCGCAGATGCCCCCAGAACCGTGAAGGTCCTGAAGGTCAGCCCACTGGCAGAGATCCGTGCTGGGCAGCATGTCCTCCTCCGGTGTGACTTCTCAAAGAGCCACCCGGCAGAAGTCAGCTTCTTCTGGAAGAAGAACGGGAGCCTCGTGCAGGAAGGGAGAGACCTGAGCTTCGAGTCCATCTCCCCGGAAGATTCCGGGGACTATGTCTGCACGGTCAGAAACGCCATTGGAGAGACCCCATCGCAGGCCTGGGGCCTCCAAGTGCTGTGTGAGTGTCTGGAGCTGGGGGCGAAACGTGAAGATGAGGGGCCCCACGGTTCCAGCCTGACCCAGGTTCCCCGTTTACAGACGCTCCCCGGAGGCTGCGTGTGTCCATCAGCCCCGGGGACAGCGTGATGGAGGGCAAGAAGGCCACCTTGTCGTGTGAGAGTGACGCCAACCCCCCGGTCTCGCAGTACATCTGGTACGACCCCAACGGTCAGGACCTCCACTTCTCAGGCCAAAAGCTGAGGCTGGACCCGCTGAGGGTCCAGCACTCGGGGTCCTACCGCTGCCGGGGTACCAACCAGATCGGCTGGAATGAATCGCTGCCTAGCGTCCTCAGCGTCTACTGTAAGTTCTCCCTGTCTTCTTCCCTCGGGTCCTTCCTCTGGCCTGGCAGCCGCAGCCCCTCCCCCCCTTCTCCTGTGTCCTGCCCAGGCATACCCTGTGACCAGCAGCTCCTGACTGCAAAGTCAGCCTGTCCTGCTCCACAGGCCTGTCTTCCTCCTCTCCATGTGTGCATCTCACCCTTGATGGATAAGGTCTCTCTCTCTCTCTCTCTTCTTTCATTTGCCTCTGCCTCCCTGAGTGCTGGGATTAAAAATCTTAGCCACGTCCGGCTAAGATCTCTATTTCTTACCTCTTGATATTTTAAGCAAGACGAATACAAGCACACATTTTTTTGTTTAAAAGAAAAATGTTTTTAAGCACAAAAAAGGAAGCTGAACAGGGCTTTAAGAGGCTGACATGGGGACATCACCTGAACAACAGGGCCAGCCTGGGCTATGTAGAAAAAAACTGCCTTGAAAACGAAACAAAACAGCCCCAGTCTCCCTTTCCTACATAATCCACCCATGCTTTTTTCTTTACTTTTTTTCTTTTTTTATGTTTGAGATAAGGGTCTTGCTATGCAGCCCAGGTTGAACTCCAGGCAACTCCCCTGCCTCTGCCTCCTGAGTGTTTGTGCTTTGCCTCTTTCAAATGACTGCAGCCCACCCCATCTTCCCAGCGCCCTCTTGGAGGTAGCTGAATCTGCAGCTGTGGGCACACTTGCCAGGCAGGACAAGTGGAGCCGGGCCTGCTCGGCTGCACTTTCAGTTCTGACCGGCTGACCAGACTGCTCTCGGGGTTGCACAGCCGCAAAGGCCGGGGTCACAGGCTTTGTGTGAGAGGCTTTTGTCTGTGGAACAGCACTCGCTGGGGGCGAAGATCTGGCCCTCTGTCCTATCAGCAGGGAGGCAGGGAGGCAGGGACTGCTTCTTGATCTTCTTCACCTCACTCTACCGCATGAGGAGGACACCTGCGGGCACGAAAGATCGGGCTTCCTGAAGGGAGAGGGGCAGCCTGCTCTCAGCCCATTGCCATCTTCACGAGGCAGAGTGAGCCCGGTTACCTCTTTCTTCACCAGATAGCCCAGAGACCATCGGCAAGCGGGCCGCCATGGGGCTGGGAGTCTGCCTGGCTGTCTGCATCCTGGCTTTCTGGGGGATGAAAATCTGGAAAAAGTGAGCCTGCTTGCTGCCCCCTCCTCCCAGCCCCCCCCACCCCAGCACTCATCCTGCCGGCTTATCCCCAACCACCCTCCCCAAACCCTTGGTCCTTAGATGGAAGCGTCACCAGAGCCAGCAGCAACTTCAGGAAAATTCCAGCGGCCAGAGCTTTTTTGTGAGGAATAAAAAGGTGAGATGAGAGAAAGGTGAACTGCAGAGGAGCCCTTGAAGGCAGGAAGAGGGTGCGAGTGGTCTGAGGATCCGTGGGGGGCCTGCAAGTCTCAGTGCTAGAGAAGATGAGGCGGGGGGGGGGGGGGGGGGGGGGGAAATTGGAGGCCGGCCTGGCTTATATAGTACATTGTAAGATTCTGTTGGGAAAAAAAAAAGGCCTCCAGAGAAGGGGTCTGTTGGGGTCAAAGGCAGGAGAAAGGGATAGATGGGGCCAGGGGAGAGGGTCACAGGTGCCACTTTGCATCTTCCAGACAAGAAGGACCCCTCTCTCAGAAGGCCCCCAGCCCCAAGGATGCTACAACCCCGCGATGGATGAGACCGTTAGCTATGCCATCTTGCGCTTTCCGGAGACCGACACGCCCAGCGCCGGGTACGAAGGGTGCTCAGGAAGGGTGTGGGAGGAAAACCGTGTGTCCCAGTCTGCCCGCTTTGTGCCAGGCCTGTGCCAGGCACCACCGTACATTCGTTACCTCATTCTTGCTACAGGACAGGGCAACGGGCCCTCGGTGGGACCTGTTGATTTGTTTCAGGAGCGGGTGTCCAGAGCCCAGCTGTGTCGCAGGTTGAATGGGATACGGTCACGCACCGGTTTTCATTAGCTGCTGCTGTGGTGCTGGGCGCACAAGAGACGAGGCGTTTTCCCCCAGGGGCTGAGGTTGGGAAAGGGGCTGCTGGGGAGCGTCGCGCATAGCTGTGTCCTTTCTCTTAGTGATGCAGGGCCTTCAGCAGCACAGGGCCCTCCTCCAGACAACGACACGGCCACCTACTCCGTGATACAGAAGCATCATCCGGTAAGAGGGCAGAGCTACGGAAAGGGCGGACAGTGACACTGGGAAGGGTAGCCGTCTAACGTCTATTTTCCATTGCTAAAGTTGAATCCCCAAGACCGGGTGGTCTGTAACAGGAAGAGGTTTAATTTTGGCTTATGGTTGGTTCTGGAAACGCAAGGCTGCGTCACTGTATGTGGTGATGGCAGAGTCTTGAGGAGACCCAAAGCATTCACGGCTGGGACATACGTCACAGAGAACCCGACTTCCTAAGAAAGTCTCTGCCTTGATTACCTATTAATCCACCAATCTTAGTCACCTCCCACAGACCCCACAGTCTGTACATTCCCAACTCAGGGGCCACACTCAGACTGCAGCAAGCCGTTCAGGCAGAGTGAGAAGGTGGGAGCCAGGACAGGTCCCTCAGCTTCTAATGGGCAGAGCACAGCCATTTGTAGACAAGATGACCCCATTTGGACATCTGGACCCCACGCATTGGGGAGCCAGCGAGAGAAGGCTCGGAAGAGAATGGAGGGAGGCTGGTCATCACGAAGGCCAAACTAACCTTCATGTGTTTTGCAGAGTGACTACGAGAACGTGACTCCAAGCTGTCCCGAGGATGAGAGCATCCATTATTCTGAGCTGGTTCGGTTTGGGGCTGGGACACGGGCCCAGGCAAAGGAAGATGTGGAGTATGTGACCCTCAAGCACTGATGTTGGTGGTAACTGGGGCAAAGAGCTCTGAGGCCTAAAGAAAGACCTATAACTGCTTTGGCTGCTGCAGCTCAGCCATGACGTCACAGGCAGCTCCATAGGCGTGTGCGCCCACACAGTCATTCGAAAGCCTTGTGTCTGGCCAGAGCCAGCCAGCCGCTCTCTGGACCTCTCACTCCACACAGAACAGTGTCCCATCTGCCATGGGCCACCGTTCACCCATCCCGAGCCTCGCTTCCGCTGGACGAGTTCCTGCCGTGATCAGCTGGGACTGTCACTGACGTTTCTTCTTCTCTGTCCCCTTGAAACTCCACCCCGAACTCACGAATCTTATTACCAGATTTCTGGCCTTTGGGGGAGATCCCCAGGAAGGGCAGAAATAAGGAAGCAAGAGGCACTGTCCCCAGCTGCCTTTTCTCCTACAAACACGGCTAGCAGCAACTTGGGCCTTCTGTGAAACTGGTGCCTTCCCACAGAGGTCCTGGGCACTGAGCAGACAGGACGACGTGGATCTACATACGCACATACATACATACATACATACATACATACATACATACATACATACATACATACATAAATATGTATATATAATTCCCTAAATGCTTCCTATTAAAAATGGCACAGATGTCACATGAACTCTTTTGTATTGGTGATTGGTGTAATTATACTGGAAACCTGAAGATAGGAGCAGCTACTTGGAGCTTTCAGGCCAGGGGAAGGGACTCGGTAATCTCAGGATCAGATCAGTAGCTAGGAGCACCGCTGTCATACAATGTTGGTATCGAACTTGGGGCTTCATGCATGCAGGTGAGGTACTCTACAGCTACATCCTCCTCACTGGGGGATTCTAGGCAGGGGCTCTACCACTGAGCCACACCTCAGCCCCTCACTGGGGGATTCTAGGCAGGGGCTCTACCACTGAGCCACACCCCAGCCCCTCACTGGGGGATTCTAGGCAGGAGCTCTACCACTGAGCCACACACACCTCAGCCCCTCACTGGGGGATTCTAGGCAGGGGCTCTGCCACTGAGCCACACCCCAGCCCCTCAGTTTCTCCAAATGGAAATGTCTGTCATTCTTTACGACATATGTGGTTCAAGGAAGTAAAGTTCAGCCTTATATTCAGTGGAGCAATACTGAAAAGCCAAGTTCAGAAGGCAAAAACTCCCAAAGCCTCAACCTCCAAATTCATCATGAATTCAAGGCCAGCCTGGGCTACACAGAGAGACAGGGTCAAAAACAATAATGAAGAAATAAGAGGAAGTGGCTTCATTCTCACAGCTGTCCTCTGTAGGGGGCTGCCCTGTTCTTTCACAGCATAAGACCACCCAGAGAAGCAGCACAGGTCCCCCAGTTCGCTATTGGCTCCAAGGATTCAAGGTCCCAGTACTGCGTCTACCCATTCACCTGCTCAGCCTAGAGGGCAAGTTGTGCTTACAACCAGGAAGGCAAGGAGCTTGCAGATCCTGGCACACAGGGGCGTCCCCGCCAAGTGTCCCTTTCTTCCTTTCCTCCCTTCTCATCTTTCCCCAGCGCCAGAGGGAGGCGCTGCTTTCCTCTTTGTCCCCAAACTGATTTCCAGTTAGCACCGCCGACTTCTCTGGAGACTGTGGGGGACTGTAAATGCTGTTTCAGCGAGGGGCTGAGGAGACGGTTCAACGGCCAAAGGCGCCTGTGGAGCTCCGAACCTTACAACCTGAGTTCAATCCCTATGACCAGCACGGTGGAAGGAGAGAACTGACTCCTCCAAAAGGTGTCCTGACCTCTACATGCACACTATGGGGCACACACACACACACACACACACACACACACACACACACTGTAAAATAACTATTCTGGGGGCTGGAGAGATGTCTTATCAGTTGAGAATGCTTGATGCTTTCAGAGCTCTCTCTCTAGGTGTCTTTTGTTTTCTTTTTTTCTTTTAATTTTTGATTTTTGTTTTGTTTTGTTTTCTGTTTTGTTTGTTTGAGACAGGGTTTCTCCGTGTAGCCCTTGCTGTCCTGGACTCATTTTGTAGACCAGGCTGCCCTCGATCTCACAGTGATCCTCCTACCTCCGCCTCCCAGAGTGCTGGGATTACAGGCGTACTCCACCACTCCTGTCACGGTGACCTCATTTTTTACTTTTATTTATTTTTACATTTAAATAAAAAAAATTAAATGAGAGAAGGAAGGTTTTTAGGGGCCTCTATCCTCACAATGAAGCTCAGCAATTTTCACCTAATTACTCACTTATGACAAGCGTTCAGGGAATATTTATCCACACATTTAGGGGCTGGAACTTTGGCTCGGCATGCTTGCCTGGTACACAAGGATCCCTGGTTCTGCGCCCAGCACTACAGAAACCAGGCACAGCATTGCCGCCTGTAATCTTAGCGTGGGCAAGATGGAGGGCGTAGGGTCAAAAGTTCAAGGTCACCCTCCAGTGCACAGCGAGTTTGAGACAAACCTGGGCTGCTTGAGGCCTTGTCCCAAGACACAAAACGACTACAATAATAAAGCATAACCCCACCTCTGGCAGAGCCTGTGACTGGGGCGCGAGAATTAGAAAGCGCACAGAGCCAAAGTCCGGAGGCTGTCAGCCAAGCCTGAGGTCTCCAACGATCTCTGAGGGCAAGGTCTTCTCGGAGGAGCAGAAGGCAGCCCCGTGGTTGACGAGGTCTGGATTAGGCTTCCTGGCAACCACCAGGTACCTCCTCATCCTGTCCCCAAGCCCAGCTGCTGATATAAAGCTACTTCATGACCCATTGAGCACGACGCGTGGATGTCAACAGCCTCGCGGAGGCGTGAAGAGCAGGTGGCCGGGGGGCCCAGAGGCCCAGGCTCCAGGATGCAAGCAACCTTCCGCCCCAGCCCAAGCTGCTCTCCAGAGCACCTACGGGACTCCGTGAGCACATCAGACCTCGGCTCTCACGGGGCCGGCCTTTTAGCAGAGAGAGCGGGCGTGGGGGTCACGCAGTCAGAGCAACTCTGAACGACCCCCAAGCAAACTGCACAGGGAAGATTGTGAACCCTCAGTGAAAATGTCACTGTGTGGAAGTTACACGGGAGCTGCCAGGTGTGTATGTGGGCAAAACAGAAATTTAAAAAAAAAAAAAAAAATTATGGGTTTGGGGATGGGAAGCAAGGGCGCTACCGCTGAGCCACGCTCCCAGCCTCTCATTGGTGGACTGCAGGCAAGCGCTCTACCGCTGAGCCACACCCAAACTCCTCACCGGTGGAATCTGGGCACAGGCTCTCCCTCAGCCCGTCACTGCTAGGGTCTAGGCAGCTAGTGTAACACCAAGCCACACCCCCAGCCCCTTCAGTATTTATTTTGAGGCACTGTCATTAAGCTCCCTGGGCTGAACTTGAACTCACTCTGTAGCTCAGGTCGGCCTTGAACTTGTGATCCTCAGGGAACCTGTAATTCCAGAATAGCTGTAATTACCGGTTGTGCCACCAGATTTAGGCCACTGTGTGATTATTTTGCTGTTCCTATGTGGATGACAACGCGTGTGCCTGCTTTGGGTGACTGAAGCCTCCAGAACGTTTTTGTGTTGCTGTGGTTGTTAGAGCAACCCGTGAATTCATCCAGCAGTGGGGCAGATTCGGCTCCCAGCGGCTTCGGACCGGCAGTGCGCGAGTCAGGACAGCGCAGCGCCGTGCCCCACGAGCCCAGCCTGTTTAAGGTCCCCAGCCACGCCAGGCATGCCCCCTTCCTTCCTCTCGCTCCCCTGCACACCCTCGCCTCCCATCAGCACAGGACGCCCCATCAGCTGCTCATCCAGGCTGCCAGTACCGCCGGCTAATGGCCACCCCGCCCTTCTGTCCCTTCCAGCTCACTGCCTGTCCCTGGCATCATCAAGCAGCCCTGCCCTGCAAGGGGCTCAGAGCCTCAGAGGCATCGGGCGGCTCTAAGAGGTGAGTCCCGTTCTGACGGCTCCTCTGTCTCTGGGCGCCTGTGCCAAGATGTTCCCCTGAGCTGTAATACACTGATGGGAACTGGCTTGCCTTTGGACTGTCCCCTTAGCACCCCCTGTGAGAGAGCACCGCCTCTCCCTGTCTGATGTAGCTAGTCTCCAACACTGCTCTCTTTCTCCCTCCCTCCTTCCCTCTCTCCCTTCCTCTCTGAGTGCTAGGAAAAGCAACAAATACTCTTTAACTGCTGCGCCATCCCCCCAGCCCTTGGTTTCCCTGGTGGGGCTTCTCTCTCATTGAGGGGGTTCCGTTAACTCTTGTCACAGAGGCGTGGACTCAGGGGTCTCTGATGTGCATTCAGCTTGTTCTCACCTCCCTCTGCCCCTCTCTCCCCAGAGCCTCAGGGATCAGACGTCGCCTCGGCTCTGGAACCTTCTTTCTCTGCCCGTTAGACCAAGTCCTTACCTTGGTCCTAAGAGGTGCTACCTGGAGGGGCAGCTGGAGACTGAGAGCTTGAACTCCTGGATTCCGATCTGAGCTCGGTTGCTCTCCGGCGGCCGGTCATTTCCTTCTGCCGGCCTTGGCATCCTCCGCCGCTCTGGGACCGACTTCTGATGCTCTGGGCAGCAGGGTCGCCGGTGTGGAATTCGGGCGCCTTCTTTTACTCTCCTGATGGACCGAGGACACTGAGCAGGAGGGACAGGACCCACCCGGCCCCATGGACCTGCCTCCACAGCTTTCCTTCGCTCTCTATGTGTCGGCCTTTGCGCTGGGCTTTCCGCTGAACTTGCTGGCCATCCGTGGGGCCGTGTCCCACGCGAGACTGCGGCTCACGCCCAGCTTGGTCTACGCTCTCCACCTGGGCTGCTCTGACCTCCTTCTGGCCATCACCCTGCCCCTGAAGGCTGTGGAGGCCCTGGCGTCTGGGGCCTGGCCCCTGCCGCTCCCCTTCTGCCCTGTGTTTGCCTTGGCCCACTTTGCCCCGCTGTATGCAGGTGGAGGCTTCCTGGCCGCTCTCAGCGCCGGGCGATACCTGGGGGCTGCCTTCCCCTTCGGGTACCAAGCCATCCGGAGGCCCCGCTATTCCTGGGGTGTGTGTGTGGCTATCTGGGCCCTCGTCCTCTGCCACCTGGGGCTGGTCCTCGGCTTAGAGGCTCCCGGCGGCTGGCTGGACAATACCACCAGTTCCCTGGGAATCAACATACCGGTGAACGGCTCCCCTGTCTGCCTGGAAGCCTGGGATCCCGACTCTGCCCGCCCTGCCCGCCTCAGTTTCTCCATCCTGCTCTTCTTTCTGCCGTTGGCCATCACCGCCTTCTGCTATGTGGGCTGCCTCCGGGCCCTGGCCCACTCGGGCCTGAGCCACAAACGGAAGCTCAGGGCAGCTTGGGTAGCCGGAGGAGCCCTCCTCACACTCCTGCTCTGCTTGGGGCCCTACAATGCCTCCAATGTGGCCAGTTTCATAAACCCGGACCTGGGAGGCTCCTGGCGGAAGCTGGGCCTCATCACGGGGGCCTGGAGCGTGGTACTCAACCCACTAGTCACTGGCTACTTGGGAGCAGGTCCTGGCCGGGGAACACTATGTGTGACAAGGACACAGGGAGGAACCTTTCAGAAGTAGCAGCCACCTCTGGGGACAAGGGGCACTCAGTAGAATTTGATGGCTCTGTCAGGCCCCCAAGAGGGTGACCCAGGAGCAGCCTGGCCCAAAGCCTCCACGGAAGCCACTCTTGGGAAGGGCTGCCCCCGGAGCGGACAGTGTCCTTGCACAAAGACGAGAGTGGAGGCTGAGAGCTGGGGACCAGGGAGAGTATACCTGCCCGATACATCCCAGCTCACCTCCGAACTGCTTCCGGCCCTTATGCTCCAGCCCCGAGGTCCTGGGGACAAGACTCTTGCTCCCTATCAGGAGGAATACCACCGTCGTGACCCGATTTTGGAGTGTTTTCCTGAGATAATTCCCGAGGGAAGGACATTTCTGTTTCCGAAGAAAGGATGCTACATCATGACCCCGCCATGCCACTTTGAATCCACTAGGGGGCAGCATACGAGCTGAGAGAAGAAAGCTGGCTGGAAAGACACAGGGGCATTGTGGATGTGAGCACCGCGTGGTTCAAGGTACCTCACGGAGTGTCTCGTGGTGGCGGGTGACTTATTTGATCGCCACACAGCCCTTCTGCGTAGCTCCCCCGTGTGTGTGTGTGTGTGTGTGTGTGTGTGTGTGTGTGTGTGTGTGTG